CCCCCCTCCCCCCATTTCTCGTTAAACTATAGCCTAAAATTGTAGGCCTATCTCTTGCGTGCTGCGCAAGGTAAGGCTGTTACACAGGTTTTAAGGTCCTGGTGCTGCGCTGTATTCTCATAGGCCTAACGACACTGCTTCTCAGAAATATTTTTCTACAAGTAGTGCGCGCGTCGGTTACCACTAATGTCATTATATGTATACCGAGTTGCAAAAGTTCTGTCACACCCACCTTAAAAGTGCAATAACTCGTTTACTATTCAACTCAGCTAAGAGAAATTTGGTACACGAGATCTTTATTCATTTTTTGCCAACATGACATGGAAAGAACTGACGCATGCCTTTCTTTATTCAAGGGAGATAATTTTATTCACACTGACCCTTGCAAAATCCAAATCAAAGTTTGCTCAGTATGGCGTGTGGCCTCTTCCAGCTTGAATTACTGATACAAAACATCTGTTCGTTGGCTGAATTAATGTCCTTATGGTTGTCTGAAGAATTTCCTGCCATTCCTTGTGAAGTGCAGTCTTCAGTTCCTGACGAGTTTATACGGAGAGCAGCCTGTTTCTAAACCTCCAATCAAGGTCATCTTACACATGTTCTGTAGTGTTCTATGGCCTTGCAGGACAGTCCAGAACAAGGATTTGATGAGTTTGGAAGGAGTTTTCACCGATCCTAGTCATTTGTGGTCGGGCGTTGTCTTGTTAGCACCTTCCATCATCCGTGCCATGTAGGGCAGTCACCGTGACGAAGAATTTCGTCACAATACCGTCGTCCTTTGAGGTTGCTTTGAAAAGTAACCAAATGGGTACGACAAAGAGCAGAGATTCCACCCCATACCATCACATTTCAGCCACTGATTTGGGTCTCTTGGGGGAAGTTGGATTTTGGAAATATCTATCCTCTTCTTTTAAACACCTTTTCTCTTCCATCAATGCGACGAATTGAAACGCTTAACCATTGCTTAAAAGAACACTTTACAAACGTCTTTAGTTTCATCGCCATTGTTGTTGTGCCAAAATTTGACAATTTGTTTGATGAAACAGGGTTAGAATGGTTCCACGAAAAGGGCGATAATCACGCAATCCACGATCTTATAAATGTCTAATAATGGTGTTTTAAGATAGTCCGAAGTACCCGACAGTCTATGCACTTAGTTGGAACGGGTTTCGTACATGGGTGTTGCCAATAATCCAATTCTGACGTCGAATTGTCGCCCTTGGTTGGCCTCGCCAGGCTTGTCTTGGACAGTTCTAGTGGTGTTAAAACGTTTGTTCAAGCGTTAGATTGTTCTTCTACACACATTTACGTGTCTTGCAACAGCAGAAAGCGCAATTAAAGAATTTATTATACATACAACCCCTTTGTTTTTCAGAATTTATCAGTTTTTTATTTGGAAAAACTGGTGAAAAAAGTACCCAACCGTTAAAAAGTACCGAATTTCATAGTGTATAAGGTGTGTTTACACATTGTCTACGTGATTCAAAGCAAATGTTGTGTGTAGGAAGCGTTGATTTAAACATACTGGTAGACCTAGAGAAATCAATACCAACACTCTGTCCACACACTACCTCCGGTTTATGATTTCTTTCGTCTGCTCTTGCCTCTTGCACAACGAGTCTCATAAGTCACACAAGTCGTACTTTTAATTTTGACTGCAATTCTTATGCTGTACCGAAAATTATCGTAATATAATGGGTGTGACAGAACTTTTGCAACTCAGTATATACTAATATTATGATATGCCTATATATGCCTGCTGACGTGAATCCATACTAACAAACATAATTGTAGGCAACAGCATGACCACGGCTGTATCGTTTCCAAGACAACAATTTAAAAGACAAAAGATTGAAAGTGAAAAAGAGGAGGGGGGATGGGTGAGGGGGGAGGGGGGTCGGTTCTCTTTCTCAGAAGATCTGACAGCAACAATTACCACCCCCCCCCCCTTTCCCCTCCCAAAAATACAACAAACAAACAAGTATTAAAGAAATGTCCCAAGCTTGAATACTGAAGTGAGTAAAGGTAATTTTTATAACACGACTTCATGTTGGCTACGGTGTAATCATATACGTGAGTATGGTTTAGTCTGTGCCACAAGGCTCGTCCTCCTGACGTTGAAGTACTCATGAGTAACATATTTTTTAACCAAGGAAGCCCTGCTGAGTTGAAGCGGAAGCGTGGAAAAACATTAGAACGCTATACAGCGACGGACTAGATCTAGATCTATAATTAAATTAGGTAGGCTGTAGGAATATAGGTTTGATTTCTCAAATTGCCATAAGGTGATTTATGTTTTTGTAAAGTAAATCATCATAAACATTAAAACAATTCCACTTTTTATGCTTTTGTCTTTGTTTCTTGCAGATTTTCTACTTCCGCTTTGTTCTGTGGAAGGGAAGGAAGGGAAAGGGGATACACTGTCAAGACTTCGGCCTCAGTTGCTTTGTTTGTTTATTTTGTACACAATGTGATATAGATCTAGATTCTAGATCTGACTTAACAGAAGTGTCGTTTGATTATTCCATGTGCTTTAGTAAATTTTAAAATGAAATCATGGACTTGTGAAATAGCCATGACAATGTCAACGCGCTAGTCCAGGCTAGGTTGGGAGTTCTTCTTCAGTGAAGTTCACTTTGTTGACACGACTTCGTTTGGTAGATCTAAAATCTAGATTTAGATCTAGATCTAGATTAGAAGTTCAGAGTATCTTACAACGACTGAGATTGCATGTGACTCAAATTGTAACACATTTAGATCTCTACATGTCACGGTAATAACAGAATTTCCAAAGTCATTGTTTGCTTACCTCCTAAGTCAAGTAAGTCTGGCTCACAGTATAACAGTTGGATTTTTATGGCTCTTCTTGGCCTTGCAATAAATTTTAGTAACAAAACAACGTCCAGCTTTTACAATGTGAGAGGATAGGAAACAAGTAATTGTTAAAGAGGCATTTTTGTCCTACCAGAAACCTATAAAAATTTGTTTTGCATTATTTATGTTATAAATTTTATATAAAATCTAGACTCTAGATCTAGACATGATAGATCTAGTAAAGTTTTAATGTGATCTGGCTTCTTGTGATAAGATTGTCCAAATAAATTTAACATTGACATTGATTGTATTATTTATTGTTTCTCTAGAATCTAGATCTAGAGTGACTAGATCTAATCTAGATTTTTCTAGTCTTGATGTCTAGATCCAACAAATTTAATATTTTGATTTGTTTCCCCATATTCTCTAGATCTAGATTCTAGATCTAGATCTAGATCTAGTTCTATCGTTCATGAGTAGATATGGGCGCGTATCTGCAACCGATTACGTTGGACGTGCCGGGCAGGTCGCCGGGGTCACTCAGTGTGTACTGTTGGTGTACAGCGCGCGCGCGCGCGCCAGGAAACGTTTGTTTTCGCCATGAATACCGTGGGAGTGTCATAGCTGCCACTTTCCCGCTAAGCGGAAACTCCGCTTCATCTGGCTTTCCCCACCATTTTCCTCCTTCCTGCACTGGACCGCTCTCGGTCTCAAATCGCGATACTTTTTTTTTTTACACGGGCAAGAGACGAAAGCGCGGCTTGCGCATGTCCGCCCGTAGCTTTGTAGGCTACTTGTACTTTTGTTTTTCTGTGCCAAGGCCAAGCGCTAGTTTCACATTGTCTGTGGAGCAACACAGTGTCGATCGAGCATCGGGACGTTGGCGCGCCGAGTTGTCATTGAAAACGGCGTAATTTTTATTCGAGAGAAATTGAGGCAAAATGCAAAAATAAATGGAGCTGGAATGAGAAAGAAGCAGCCGGTGTGCGACTTGAAAAGTTCATTAGAAAATTGCTGCATTTTGCGTTTGGTGCGATAAAGAAATCGCGGCACTCCTGTACAATTGCAGTCCCGTTTGTTTACATGACGGCTATTGTGACTGAAAGTGAATCTGAATCTAAATCTAGATAGCCTTGGTATAATCTATCTCTAGATTTAGTCTAGATCTACACATATAAAATTTAGCATCTAGATTCTAGATCTAGATTAGTAATAGATAGCCTAGGCTATAATTTTATTATTTAATTCAGTTTAGATCTAAAAAGAAACACTACAGGGGCACTAGATCTAAGTGCAAACGGAACCGCAATTGTACAGAAGTGCCGAAATCGCTCAGTACAGCGGCAAAGGTGTTGCCTCTTTGATCCAATACTGCTCTACATCGATGAAGCCTGCAAGTTAAAAATGAAAGAAATCTTTCTGTGACGCACCAGCTTGCAACAAACACTGGATTTTTAGTCACCAAACTGTCAAATGCTTGTTAGTCAACTTAGTGCCTTGAGGGGGGGGGTTGGTTGTTGTTTTTAAAAAAATCGAAGTGTATACAGTATGCAGACCCGGTAACCGGGAACAAAGTCACGAAGTATACAGACCCGGTAGGGGAACTCTTTTGTGATTTCGGGAAGTTTCAACCCCAGACCCGGTAGAAATCGTGTGTGTGTGTGTGTGAGAGAGAGAGAGGGGGGGGGGGGAGAAAGAGAAGAGCGGGGGTGCTAGCAAAATGTATATGACATGCCCCAGTTGGCAGGAGGGAACGAGAGAAAGATAGAGTGGGAAATAGGTGGGGACAAAGAAAGACAGAGACAAACAAAGAAAAAGAGAAGGCAAGCGATACACAGAGGAGAGAGAAAGAGAGAGAGGGGGGGGGGGGGCTGCTCGATTGAAATTATGACATTGTAACTTGTTCTTTTCTTCAAATTGTGATTCCTCCAACTCCAAAACGGAGGAAAAACGATCGTTCATCGAAAAGACATCCGCAATCTTCATTTAGATCTAGGCTGGCCGCGAAACTAGATCAAAGATTTAAGTTTGTCTATCTAGATCTAGACCATAGATCTAGAAGAACCTAGGTCTACCCTGAGCCAAGAGGGCGCAGGAAACTCTCCGAAATCACAAAAGAGTTCCCTTATCGGGTCTGTATACTTTGTGACTTAATTCCCGGTTACCGGGTCTGTATACACTCCCTTTTTAAATACATTTTAATTCAGTAGCCTATGGTTAAACAAATGACAGTTTTCCCTTCAAAACCATATAAGCTATATTTTCAAATATATTGCCTCTGGATCTCACTGGTTTTACTCCTCCGGCCTTCAGAGAGTGCGCGTACGCCTTTGCGTGAATTTCCTCCTTTTTTGAAATTCCTGAGTGGCAGCTATGGAGTGTGTTAATCGATGATGAAAGTAGTAACGCTCTATCTTTCATAGCTTTCTATTTATTATAAAGTGTTACAGACAAGACATTTCGAGTAGTTAGGCCCATTCGAATAACCTTTTTGGACGCTCTTGTTGTTATATTATTATGAGAATGACCTGAGGTTCGAAAGGGGATAATAGGTCAATTTCCGAATTTCATGTTTTACACTCAATCAAATTGTTCTTTGTACCTGCTCAATGGTATTCAAAGCTATCAAACAAGCTTATTTTTTAGGTAGTGTCAATTGCCACCGAGTGATGCGGTGGCAATTGACAAAAATTGACTTTTTGCCTATTGCCACAGAGTAAATTGGAGCTCTTTTGTGTTTGTGGGTAGATCTAGCTTATTTGTGCTCGAGTGCTCGGTTTTGTGCGTTCGCCTCTGTGTGTGTGTGTGTGTCTTTTCCTGACCCCCGTCCCCCGATTTTTGTTCTCCGATATAATGTGAATTTCTGCTTGAGTCTGTGTGCGTTTGTGACCTTCTAGGCCTACTTCTAGAATTGCCTGTGTTGGTTCTACACCAAAGTCCAAAGTGTAGGCTAAGGCTAGCCTAGATCTAGATATGTCTCATTGAAAACACGCCAAGTTGGTACCGTAGCTCTAGACTAGTGCTCGTCCGATGAAATTAGTTGAGAACAAATTGACCCATTGGACACACATTAAGTATAATGCTAAAGATAGTGTTGTTTTCAGACTTGTCACCGCTTCACTCGGTGGCAATTGACAAAAAGTCAATTTTTGTCTTTGTCAATTGCCACCGCGTCACTCAGTGGCAATTGATGCTACCTACTTTTTATCAGGTAGTATCATTTCATACAAAATCAAGCTCATTTGAAAGATTTTGTATAGAAAAATGGAAGTCTTGTTTCCCGACTATCCTTTCGAGCTCCTCATGTCTAAGTGGGTCAATTTCTTCTATAATTTCATTGGACGAACATCTAGAGCTACCAACTTGGCGTGTTTTGAATGAGACGCAGTATGCCTCGATTACAAACCAACGCAGAAGGTTCTAGAAGAAGGCCACAAACGCACACAAACTCAAGCATACTGACGCACACACACTTGACCTGCGTGAATGGGGATCCGACTCGGTACCCGAATTTCACGTAAGATGATGCGCGTGCGCTAAGCCAGTGGCTACACTGATTCGGGACCAGAATGTTGGTGAGGTGCCGAAATAGGCTTTTATCGTGCGACATAAACCCGGCTCCCGCAGGATGAGGGTTAAAGTAAGCTGACCCAGAACTAGATCTAGGGCCTAGATCTAGGTTTACTATTGTAATTTTGTAATTCCATTTCCCTTTACACTACACCTATAGTTCTTTGGTGTGATTATCAATTGACAATTTATGCCCCCATACTACTATAGGTATAGGCTATGCCCTTACTTTTTTAATTTTTAGAGGCTAATGATTGTATATTGTCTTTTATTTGTAAATCTGATAAGGGTAGTACCGTACTAGATTTAGTTTGACTGGCTCAGCAAGCAGTTTAATGGACATGAAATGAAGCTACAGCGAACACCTAGCACATTCTGTGATTGGCCCAAATACAGACGACATATTTCCACCATTTATTTTTGTCCTCCGGGACTTCCCTCGCCAGTTGACTAGATCTCACCGTGGCGGGCCTGCTTTGCCACTTAGCATGCGATGAACTACGTCACTAGGTTTCATCACCGACTGCTTAGGCCGTGTGTGTGTGCGTGCGCGCACACTTGTGTGTGTGTGTGTACAACTTTGAGGAGAAGGTAAACTTATGGAACAAGAATTTTTTAGATTGTTTATAAAAGATTACACAAATTACTAACCCTCCCCCCCCAAAAAAAAAACAACACGAAAACACAGCGAGATCTAGTCAACAGTTACTGGCAAGGGAAACCCGAGAGTCTTGAGGGAAACCCTGGAAGACGATTAAAAATAGATGGCGGAAATACATCATCTATATTTGGGTCAATTACAGAGGTGTGCTAGGTGCTTGCTGTAGCTTCATGTGTTTTGTGGTAAAGGCCAAATGGATATGGGTGGACTTCCGTAACGGGTGACCAATATGAAACAGTAGAATAGAGGGTTAAGGTTTGGGGTAAGGCTTTGTAAGGGTAGAGAAGGTAAGGGTAGGGGTTGGATCAGGGTTAGAGTTAGATCTATGTCTCTTCTTTATTGTGTTTGTTGTTGGGGTGGTCTCTCGTTTTACGGAAGTCCTTCCAATGATATAAAATATAAAAGGTTTAAGATTGTTAACCTTTGATATATATTATGATATAATGGTTATATTTCCAGCGTCTTGTCAAAGGAATCCTGCCAAACCCTACATTGCTGTTGGTACTGCAGATGGGAGGTTTTGAAAATCTTTATAACCTCCGATCTTGTCAGTACTTTGCGCAATGTAAATATTCCAACAGATATGGCAGATGTCTTTTGATTGATGTACTTGCGATTTATGACATGAAGAACTCTTACATGAAAGAAAAAATGGCAGGAGGCACTCAAAGTCAAAGGAGGAAAAGGAACACAACCTTTTCAATGTGTGCTTCAAGGAGCCTGTCTTGATTCTTCTCGGCTACTTCATATTGTTTTGCCTCTGTCAAATTGAATCATCGTCATAATGGCTTCTTGTCCTTCTATTCAGTCTTTATGACCACTCCTGATTCTGAGTCTTTTCTACTTCAGTATAGTAAGGCTAGTTGGCTTTAGACTCTCTTTTAAAATCAAAAGCTTTGCAGCTTCTCTGTTTTTCTTTTTTACATGAACCTCTAATTTTTCTGTTTTGTGTCTTTTCACTTCTTGCTTTTCATCTTTTTCATATACACTCTGCCTGCCATAGCTTTATTTGCATCAGTTTTATTCTCATTTTTCATTTTTCTTTGTAAAGAGTTCCTTGTGCTACTTTTATCATTCGTGGTGAAACTGAAGTGTCAACCTACCTGGTGTCTGTTTGTCACTGAGGCAAGGCTGTGAGGTTTTGTCATTGATGGTGAAAGTCTCAAATATCCAACTCTTTGAATAGATATGGGGGTTGGAGTTTGAGGTTGGCGCAAATGACAAAGCCGATAACCTCTGGAATAATGCTACTGCTCAAATCTGCAATCATCTCAAGATTTGATCTTCTGTAAATAACTGGATTATGATATATTTGCATTTCACAAGGTTAGTTGGTTTTGAGTTTTTGTAGTTAGCTTGGCTTAAAGCTGTTGCAAGATTGTGGTTTGATGTAATTTGTTTGTTAGATATATACAAGAGGGGTCAGCATCTGTTATTTTGAGAAATCAGGTATTCAATTTAATAATGACGAGAAATTGGTTGGTGACATACATTGTCTGTTTAGTATATATACATTGTTTCTTTGTATATTTGTTTTCAGGCATAGTAGGTCTAAAAAAAGAGTTGGTCTTCTGAGATCCTTCAAAATTATCTTGACTTTCCCCTATTCTTTGTGTATTAATGATAGTTCAAACTTTTTTCCCCCCCAAATCTAGCTGGTAGTAATGGAAGTTGGTACCGAGGACTTTGGATCAGAGGATGTGATTATGGATAGTGCTAGTACTACTTCGATTTTGGAAGGAAGTCTGTCAGGTGAAGAGGAAAATGCAGTTGATGCTGAGGAAAATGTTGACGCCGGCAGTGATCCAGGAGAGGACCATGAGTTTGAAATAATTGATCAGGTTGAAAGTGAGGAGGAGGGAGATGAGAAAGATGCAAGAAGACAAAAGACAGGGGATGATAAAGAAGGTGAGGAGGATGAGTTCACGTCAGACAGTGATCTGGATGACTCAGAGCTTCATGCAATGCTGGAGAAAGGCATCGATAAGGACAGTATCTCTGCCAACAAAGGGGAAGAGCCAGCTGAGGGAGCTCCAATCATTAAGCACAAAATTGTGTTGCAAGGTAGGGTTACATACATTGTCTCCCGGAAGTTTTTGGCATACCATAATCAAAATGAAGATAAGACTTAGTTTGTTATTCTCAATTTTCTGTATAATGCGTCTTTCTTTTTCCTGTCTCAATGTGCACTTACTTAGGCAGATTTCACGGTGATGATCCACAGGCTTCCCACTTTCCCAATTTTTTTCACGATTTTGAGCTTTATCAAAGTTTTTATTTTATATCATTGGAAAGGTCTTTTAAAGAGGAATTTTAAAATTAGGTAGAGAGACAGCAAAGGCTTGCAAAGGTGTTTTATTTAATTAAATGTAACCTTACCTCGGTGCAAACAACACAATCCATGAATATCACCGAATTTGGTTTAATCCATTTTATCGAATTCACTGGCCACAAAAATCATTATGCACACAATAAATTCAAATAATTTAAGAAATAATAAAAATAAAAATAAGCAATAGAAAAAGGAATTAACAAATAGAAAAAGAAAAAGAAAATCGTTGAAAAAATGTCTTTCAACGTCGGAACAGCCTAAAAGACCACAAAATGATTCACCAGTCTTAGTACTTTTACACAACAAAATGTATCATTATTTTTCTCACTAAAGAAGTGTAGGACTCTTCTTATAATATTGATACTACTGGACTCAAATTGCCGGTGCACTGTAATTGAGAAATCAATATTTTTGAGTGCTAGATCTAGGCCTGGATCTAAATAGTCAAAATATTTTTTTTTCTCCCCAAAATCACTACTTTTTGGTGAATTTACTCAAAAAGTACCACCCAAGACATGTATAGGTTTATTCCAAATGCAATTCTGAATAATTCCATATAAGATACGAGTGGTTTTTTTCTGTTTGGGATCGTTTTTTCATAATTATTTTTAAAAAAAATGTTTTTCAATATCGGAGGTTATGATCCAAATGTACAAATATTATGGAATGTATGTAAATAACTGCTCATTTTTCAATATTTTCCTGTTCTATATACAGTTATGGTTATTTTGATGTATAATTTGACTAGGTGCAAACATATTTTTTGAGTTTCATCTGAGATTATAAATTTTTTGTTTTCAAATTTTATCCGCAGCCAATCACAATTGTGTTGCATAATCGCTTCTTACAGGAACCAAAGTTGTAAAATACTCAAATAAACAATACAGATGTATTCTACAAACCATACTGAAAATGTTGGTGTATAATATGTTGATATTTATTTGAATTTATGGCCCCCAAAACCTGTGAACTGCGCACTAGTCATCATCTCATTTCGCCCTCCCGAAAAAAAATTCGTCCACAAGCCGAAAATAATACATATAGCGAATGAGTTAAATCTCCGAGAAATGCTGAGTTTGACTGTAACATGACGGAGACGCACAGGGAGAGGTGCAACAATATGAGTCTCAAATCTACTAATAATTTCTTCAATTTTCCCAAATTACAGCTAAAATCGACGTAGAAATGAGTGTATCGCATAGGCTGAACATAAAAACTTACATTAATTTCGCTTCTGGAAGCAAATTTTGGCACTTAACACTTTGCGGTCCCTTGGCACAATAATGCGCCGGTGAAATTATTCGTTCCGGTCTGTTGCAGTCACTCTCCTGGCTGTGTCACCTGATAGGGTATTTTGTACTGCTGACTATGTGACTGCAAAGTGTTAAGGTCGGGTCAAAATATTGGACTTGCACGCACTATTTTCGACCACCATATCGCTCACTCCGTTGCCGTTTCAAACCAATTCTAGAACATATATTTCTTGCGTGTTCCAGTCATTTTTTGTTTTTGAGAAAATCAGCATAAAATGCCATGTAAAAGAAAATTGTCAGACTCGCGTAAATTTGGAAATGCTGTAAGTCTAAATCCCTTCGTCCATGACACTGTATGCAAAATATCTAACAAAATAAACAATTGAATACTTGTTTTTTATTCTCATGTTTATTGGGCTCAGAAACAAATACAAGACAAATTGAGCACCAAACGGTACAACAGGAGAATTTTATTTGAAAAATAACCATGTGTTGTCTCTACCGCCCTGACAGTGACAGTGAAGTTCGCCCTAATTTTGTTTATATTCAATTCTGTATTTTGTGAACATCATGTACTTCAATCTTGTTCTTTACTTTTTTGTCCCCGTCTTTAATTCCACTTCCACTTATTGTACTTTTTGAAGAAAAAAGGATTAAAGTTTGAAAAAAGAATGTGCCTTCAGTTACTGTATGATTAGAACAAAAAGGATTAGCATGAAGTGCATGTTTTCTGCTGTTTTTGTGGCCTGATGTTAAATAAATTAAACTGATTCCCTCCTTGACTTTAAAACTCAGAAACTAGCTATGGCTGCGACTTTGGGTTAGTGAATCCTTTTTGCTCACAGAGTTGGAGACAGATCCATTTGACATACTTCCCCCTGGATGGGTGTGTGTGACCCACAACTGCGGCATGCCTGTGTACCTTCACAAAGAGAGTCGCGTCTGCACCATGGCCAGGCCATACAGTTTGGGATCTGCCAGTACAAGGGTGAGAGCATGATGGTATATACAGTGGTGTTGGCTAAAGCGTGTTACATAGTTATTTAATCCTAAAAGAACATAAATGCGAAAGAAAATATTATAATTTTTTTTCTTTTTTCTATTTGAGCGTCTTTAAACTGAATATTCGGTTAAACCAAAAAAAAACAGGCGGTCCCGAAGATTCTGGTTTAAGTGGACTCCTCAGTATAGTTGAACTTGCTTTAATGGCCACCTGTCTGGGACAATCGCCTTTACGAACGACCACTTCCCATTTCTACCCCTTTGTGTTTTTTCCTATATTGTATAACAGTCATAGAGGACCATTTGTCTAAGATGACCACTTTTCTCCAGGACAATGCTTGGTTCTCATGGACTGATAGGAGGGGTTTCTTCATATACCTTACAAAATCCTTTCCTATTCCAATAAAAATGGTGCTACAGCTTTGAAATATGTATATCAGCTTTTGCCAATTGTACCTAAAATGTAGCATAGAGGGTTCATGATAAAAATTTTAATATTTCGTTTTTACTTGAATTTTTGAATTCATATATATCTCCTAAGAAAAACATGTATTTACAGACCTACAGATGGCATGCTAAGCTGTTTAACTGGCGTTACGTAATGTCAAGTGAAGTTCTTTCGGACATGCTATGTTGACACGTTTTTTAGAATTTGAACATACAAAATTGTTTTAACAGTTTTCTTATCCCTTTAATTTTCAAACATGTCATAAGTAACATAAGCATGAAGAGCATATAAAATGGTGAGGATCACAGAAAAAAAGGTTCTGAATGCCATTGTGTTTGCATTTGTGTCATCATAGTTATGTTCGAGAGAAATGAAAAACTTTCCGTTTTCATATTTAAATTCATTTTTGGATAAATTTGGCAAACAAAGATTCAGAAGATTCAATTTTACTCTCTATGCATGTTAATGATGAAAAGATGACACTTTATTCACATTTTACTGTGAATGTCTACAAAATATCAAATATCTTTTGTACCATGATGACACAAAATGAAAAATACCCTGAAAAGTAATTTATGGGACATAAAATTATTTTAATAGTTTTCTCATTGCTTTAATTTTCAAACATAAGCATGAAGGGCCCGTAAAATTACAGAAAAAAGAAATTCTGAATATCTTTTTGTTCGCATTTGTATCATTATGTCAGAAAGAAATTATTGTCATATTTTCTAATTCATTTTATTGAGAATTTCGGCAAACAACGATTCAGGAGATTCAGTTTGACTCATCGTAATGCATGCTAATGGTGAAAAAATGCCACTTAATTCACATTTTACTATTACTCTATGCAAAATATCAAATATCTATCGAACATAATCCAGATGACACATAAAGGATAAATGTTTATCCTCATTTTGAAACATCAATTTACCTCAAATTTTCCCTCTTGTTGACATCAAGCCAAGCACGCGTGGCCGCATCTAGATCTACCACTACTTGACCATTGGAACGCACTGCGATGTTGATCATTGTTTGGTTTAGACTTAATTAAATGAGTGGAACATTTTTCGGACATAACAGCTTTTTTTTTAACATAACATGTTCAGATTTGATGACGCCTTAAAAAACACATTTTTTGATAAGTCTCTGATTTGTGTTACAATATTAATCACTTTGAAACAAGCTTTTTTAGAAATATATGTATGACTGATATTTTTTATTTTATTCACTCAATATTTTTAATCGTAGCTATTTTTACAAACAGTTTCATTGCCTTTTTGTTACTCTACCTAGATCTTACGAAATCCAAAAACGTTTTTTTATACAATTTGATTTTCTCATATGCAGTTAACTTAATTCAGTATACCATTTGTGCAGTTTGTGAACGTTGGTGACTAATCTTTTCCAGAACCACGACATTCCTATCTCAGCCATTCCGTGTCTTCAGTACAAAAGACAGATTGAGAAACTCTGCGACAATGTTGAAGGTGTGTGTTACAAACTTTCTCTTTTGGATTCCACAGCTTTTCATCTTATTCTGAGTCTCTTTTCATCGTTAGTATAAGTGTGTTAAGAATCGATACATGCTTTGCATATGTCTTCAAATCACTTTGTTCTTCCTTTATCTCAACGGATTGGAGCTAATGTCTTTGCGCCGACTCTAAATGTATTGTTGGCGGGCATGACTGGTAGATTCTACTTCTTTTCTTTTGTTGTTTTTGTCTGTCTTTCTTTTCCCAGCACAAAAACGAATCATACACTACCTTTACCTTTCTACCTTCTGGTGTTTTTTTGAGTGTCTCTGTCAGCAGACAGGTCAGGTCAAAGCGGTTCAAGTGTTATATGCAAATGTGTTAAGTCGGGTGAAAAATGTGTACAGTCAAGTTATCATTTCATAGATTTGAGCATTGTCTGGTCAAGACGTCTCTATTCTGACCGTGACGATAAAAAAAAAATTTGAGTTCCTTTCTCCACTGTACATGTACAATGTTTTATTTGAACAGAGGCTGCACAAATTAGACAAGCTGAAGCCAAGAGAAGCCTGCGAGCTGTGCACTTTCGCAAGTGGAAATGAAGCTTTTAAATGCTCAAAATGTGGCAATTATTCTCTTTTAGAATTGGGCTTATTGGTCATAACAGAAGCCACAAATCATTTTGATGTATACTCTGCAGATACACTGGTCATCATATAACATTGGCAGAGTAATTATTATTATTATTTTTATTATTATTATTTGCACAGAGATTGAGTCAGGGGTTCTCTTGGCCTAGAGGTTGTGTTCTCCTCTCATTCAATAGGTCCTGGGTTCGAATCCGGGTAGCAGCGGAAATTTTTCTTCTCTAAAATTGTCTCCTTTCACCTCCTTCCTGCTCTCCTGCAATGTTCTGTCATCTGCTTTCGTCTCCACTTTCTTCCCCAACCACCCCACCTCCTTTGCCCCCTCCTCTGGGCTCCTGACTCTTTCTTACTGCTGTATTTGAGCCACACCCCTGATCTTAAGATAGGAAAGATGTACACCTAGCTTTCTCGGACAAGGGCAAAAAATCTCAGAGGTCCTGTGTGCAAGTTGTTAACGTTAAAGATCTCTTGGTGGTCGAAAATTGATAAAAAGTAGGCTTGGCCGCCACCCGAGCAAAATTCCAAATTTCTTACCAACTAAAAATGTTTAATGTGACCCGCACGCTCACATGACATAATTCAGTTGCGAGCGCTGTAAAACACTTACCAAAAAAGAAAGAAAAAAAGAATTGGTCTGAGACACTGTCAGGCCCACATTAACTTTTCTTCTCTTGTCTTACCTCCCTTTCCCTATTCCTCCCAGTTACAGACAACGGTTGTGGTGATGAACAGAGGACTGTTGAAAAGAAGAGTCAGGAAGTGTCTGAGGACGGGCAAGAAGCTGTCACTGCTGCGGGAGAAGCAGAGAGGTGTCCTCTCAAAGTCTTGAAATCTCCGCAGAAGAAAATTTGGTGTGTCTCACAAGAATCTACCTCGAAGGCTCTGGACCATGACAATTCAGGAGGGGAAAATACTGTGAAGGAAGTTTCGTCTGTTGTCGCTGCTTCCGATTCCTCTGCTGCGGGTGGTGTGGACGCTGCATTATGTCAGGACTCGCCTCAGACAATGTGGGTCATGTCACAGGGTTCTTTCCAAAAAGTTAAGGTAGGTCCTCAGCCGGAAGCTTTGCACATGGGTAGGATGGAGTACTGCAGTCAAAGTGCTGCAAGTGGCGATCAGTATTCAGGCCAGACTTGTAAAGAAAAAATTCATATTCCGAGATCGCCGGGTGAGGCAAATATTGCTGTCAGTTTAGACTGTTCAACTATTTTAAATGATTCTGAGGTTGTTGATTCAGAATCAACACCTACTCAAACAAACAAAGAATCTCTTCGCGTAAATGGTGCTGAATATAATTATGAAATATGTGCACATGATCCTTCGAATACCACCTCTGTGAAATTGGCGGGGAGAAATCAAGAGGAAAATATGGGTCTTTCCTGTCAAAATGAAGCAAAGTCCCAGTCAGGTTTGGGGGCTGTGTCTGGCTCTTCAGGTGAGATGGGAGTAAAAAATGAGGCCCCAAATTCGGGTGATGATGGGAGTGGGTTGGAGGAAGGCGAAATTGAAGAGCTCCCGACTTCATCAGACGTGGCTGGTGTCGACGCTAGGAGTGGCGAAAAAATTCGATGCCCGGTAGGACATCATTCTAAAGACCCAACAAAATCACTTGTGACTTCGGAAGAGTGCACATCGAATAATTGTGTTCAGTCGAACTTTTCCTCCCCTGAATTTGCTACGTTCAAACCAACGGATGCAGCAGTTAACGGTGGCCTCGGCAACGACGACAACGCGATTGTGGTGAGGGAGGAAGCCTCGAGCAGTTCAGAACCCTCAGAGATTGTGACCAGCCAGAGCAACACACTGGCCGCCATCAAGCGCAAGCTCGAGTCGCTCAAGAACAGGCATGGGGGCAAGCAGAGGAAGCTGGACGGTTCTGGTGGGTCGTCGGCGACAGGCTGGCCCACTGAGCACAACCTGACCGTCAACGTGGTCAAACATAGCAGCCCAGGAGACTCAACGGAAGGTAAGATTGTGCAGAGAGAGAGAGAGAGAGAGAGAGAATGTCATCAGAAGAGTAGTTTAGTCGTTTTGTAGTAAAGTGTAAAGTGTTGTTGGTGTTTACCATAACCCCCTAATGAAGTTGAGGATAATTTGATGCAGATGTCGCTGTGACTAAAATTTCTCTTTTCTTGATTGTACGTTGTAAAATGGTGCTGAAGTGGTCATGTGCAGTAGTGTCTCTTTGTACAGCAGCAAGTCTTTCTGTGACCAGAGTCTGTTGATGGGGGAGTAACATCTCCTACGTTAAAGAAAATGTGTAAGCCTTTCTGTGAGGTTTGGTAGGGTGGTATTGTTATATATGCACATATTGTGGAGTTGCATCTTAGTGGTTACTGCCCTTGTGAATTTTGAAAACGGAATTATATTTTTTATTTTCTATTACAGTGTTCGTCTTGAATGTGTCAGATTATGAGAAATCCTGAAGATTGGTTCTCACTCTGTGAATTTTGTATTTCTTATAGTCTGTAGTTAGTTTCTTGATAATCATCTGAATTGTATGAGAAAAACTATTTTTCTGTCTCTCCATTTGTAACCCTGTTGGTGATCTGACTCATATATAAGTACTCAGTAATAATTGTTGATAGTTCATTCCACTTTTTCACTCACTTAGCTTTACAATGTCATTGCTGACACCAAACTCCCTTTAGATTCAGATTACAATGACAATGACAATGACAGGCTCTGTTATAGTTTTAATCCCACAAAGAGCAAGAACCAGCATGTATAAACATTAGTGCATACCATCAGTAATATGAGCTGTTTAGTCTTTGTCATCTATTATGTGGGAGACTTGCTTTATTTTGTTTGTCCATCTAATGACTGTTTGTGTGTAAAATTTCCATCTGTGTGGATTTTTCTATTAGTGTGTGTGTTGTGTAAGTCTGTGTTCATGTGTAAGTGTGTGTGAATGTATGTGTGTTTAGTGTGTGTAATGATGTGCAAGTGTGCTTGAATGTATTTACCATGTTCTCTTTGTAATATATTGTAATGATTAATCAAGTCTTAATCTTGTCCCTTCTCCTCTCCTGCTTGCTCCACAGCTCAGAACACTGCCAACGAGACTTTGAAAGCTCATGCTGCTGAAGTGAAAATAAAGACGGCAGAGGAGCGAGCAAAGGAATCGCTTCTCAGTAAGTTGTTTCTGGTTCTCTGAGCAAGTTCATTGTTATAAAACGAGATATACTGCCTTAGGGCTCTTGTTTTTTGTTTTTCTTTTTGTTTAAATTAAAGGTTTGTGGGTTATTCAACAGCAGCGGAAAGAATCATGGGATGAATTTTCTGATTACAAAAATTTGGCAATCATATTTCTTTCAGTGCTTGTTTAGAAGGTGATGAAGAATATATCTTGTCCTTATTATGACAAAAGTATGGAGAGCTGAGATCTGATGAAGGCAAGGGTGACGTGAAGTGAAGAATTGATCTTCCTTTAAGTAGGTTTTTTTTTCAGTTAGATGCCTTGATTGAAGAAAACGATGAACAGATGCTTTACCCTCTAATCTCCAAGACACCCTATCACAACTTAAGAGAAAGTAGTACAGTCGAACCTGCCTTAACGGAAACCTGTATAAAACGGAAACCTGTCTCAACGGAATCTCCCCGCTCCCCCCTTGATATATTCCTCTTTAATTACCTGTATAAAACGGAAACCTGTCCAACAAGGAAACAGAAAGAAAAATCCGCTCCTTTCCGAGGGTTTCACCTGTCTAAGACGGAAAATGCTTTGCCCGCTCAGCCCTGATTTGAAACGAAACTCGCAAGTTTGGCCTCTGAACTTCACGCCATGGCCATGCTGCTGGGCGAGGAGAGGGAGTAGGGGTGCAATTTGGGGGTAGATGTTACCATATCATGTGAGCCCTGAGCGATGCAGATGGTCAGTGTAATGTGGGTGTGAAATCTCACGATTGCCCGTGAGAGTGCTCAAGTAGCGAGCCACTACGGAAACTTTCCTTGGTAGCCAGAAGCCAGAGGTGTGAAATTAGATTGACCAATGCCTGCCGCCCTGATCGTACGGCCAGCCAAGAAAAGAGTTCCTCGAATCGTTGTTACAATGATGGCAGTAAGGGGTGGCATTGGTGGGTGGGGCTAAGGGTGGAAGCAAATGAGATGTTCAAACGTTTCTGTTTTTAATAGGTCAAACAGTGGTCCTATGAAAGGCAAGCACCGGTGGTAATTGAATACGTAAGACTGACGCATGTCATTATCAGACAGGATAGCAGCTGAGAGGTGTGAAGTTTTGACCACTGCTTGCCGATCGGATAAGCGATCCTTGATCCCACCGGCTGGGCCTTTGACCCCCCCCCCCTAAATTCCCCTGTCTAAGACGAAATTTTCTCATGCTCCCTTGTGATTCCATCTTACACAGGTTCGACTGTATTTGTCTTTTTTTTTTTACCGTATGATCCAATTGTTGCTAATGGTAAGAATTAGTATAAGTTGGTGTTTCTTCATGCTCCAAATTTTTTTGATCCCCGTTGCAGATTCTGATTCCTTGCACTCTTACTGTGAACGACTATTCCGGTTCAAGACAATTGAAGTGAAAAAATACAGGTAATGACAGTGTTACTTATCCAGACTACCCATTGGGGAGAAAAAGTGGTCTTCTTAGACAGTTGGATGTCTTGGACAGTGTCATTATGATATAAATAAAAGTGCTAGTGTGAATTGATCGCTTGTACAAGTGATTGTTAGAGCAGGTTTGCCAGTATTTGTGTTTGACTGTCTTTTTAAAATTTTAGAATATTATTGTCCTACTAATGAGTGCTATTTTCTCATCTGTGATAGGATAGTTTCCGGCCTTTCCTGTATCTCGTTTTTTTGGGGGGTGTTTTGGGTTGTTATACTAGGGCTTGCCCTCATTTAAGAAGACAATGTGCGATGTTCCGGGTAGAGATCTTCAGTCAGTTTGATGACTTGTTTTATTTGTTTATTTGCTGTGTTTTTTTCTGTTTAGTTTTTAATAGCCCTACACTTTGTCCCATCTGAGTAGATGAGTAGAACATTACTATACAGATGTTTCAGGAACCTCAATTGTGTAAAAATGGATAAAACACCGTAAATTTTGAATCATCTGTTTAATTAAACTGAAATATTATTGTGGGTTTTTAAAAACCAACCCTCCATACCCTTATGTCCTTCCTGTCTAGTGCTTCATTAATTTCTGTTCCTTTCAATACCCTCCACCAGGTCATGGCGGGAAAGGAGGAAACACATTGGCGAAAAAATCAGAAAGAGCCGACCAGAACTGGTAATGTCAATAAAAGAAAAAGAAGCAATATTCCCTGAAATATAGGAAGCTTATGATCTTATGTACAAGATTTTCACTAACATAATAGGATTGCAGTCTTTTTTATTTGATGATTTTCCTTGGACAGTTATGGAACTGTTTCTCTTTAAGGCCACACTCTACTTCTTAACATTTTTACTTGTTTTTTAAATTTTTTTATTATCTCTAAGTATTCCATTCAATTATAAAAAATATTCTGTTTTGAGAATCATTATCAGTTACGGTGACAAGGTGACTGCCAGGCCTCGGGAATTACCCCAGAATTTGAACAAAATCACAGAGACCCAGGAATGCCCCCTGGAAATTGAAGAAATATGTAAATTGCCCGCGGAAAAAGCCGGGAAGGCCTGCGAAATTACATAAACTGTTTGACTATTTCAGAAACCAAATCTGATAAGGTCAGTAAGGTCATTTTTGCTGGTCGCAATTGTGATCGTTCGGCTTTTCCCGGTCCGAGAGTAAGTTTCACTTGAACAGGCAGCTATACGGCTGGCGGAAGTGTATACAACACCGAGGCTCGATTGAGAAAATCAAGATCTACTTTCACTTTCTTTAACATAAATAGACCTGCATGTTTGCCGACAATAGTCTGAAATCCGACAATCGCGACCCGACCCGTGAGCAGGCCAATGCTATCGCTAGGCCCAACTGTTTTAATCAATGTGCGTAGTGCGAGGCCTGGCCGACTGCCAGCGCCCCCTTTTTCTCACGTCGGCTTTGTCGGCACTTTTGTTTTCGTGCCGACGTAGACGTTTCCGACATAATTGTCGGAACCTGAGTAGAAATGCGAATACGAAAAAGGATGGGGACCTAAATTATCTACTTTCATTTCGTGCTCGAGCGGCCATTTTGAATTTCGTTTGTTGACTAATTCATTGTTCAGATCATGTGGATTTATTACAAGTCCGACTCACCTGTTCTAATAGAATCTAGATCTAGATTTATAGATCATTATAGACCTCAATGGAGGATTCATATTCCAATTCTATT